TTGTTGTTGTTGTTGTTGTTGTGGAGGATATGTCTAGATAACGAAACTTTACTTCACATTATATGTGTATATCCTAGTTCATTTCAGTTCTCAAATAATTTTTGTGATTGTCTTGTGATAACAAAGCTTCTTCTCTCTTCATGACAGGATAGATTTCTGGAGATCTTGAAAATAAACAAAAAAGATTGGTCCTGTGATAGACCTATGCTGCCACTGCCCACTCTAATGAGGAAAGTTAAGCTTTCAATGTTTGTTTTGGGCTTTTGCAACCCTTATCACAGGAAAACACAGTAAATAAAATGTCTGGTTGCATGTCCTCTTAGGTCTTCCGTACTCCAGGCCTGCAGGATTATTTGTTTTAAATAATGACAGAGCGTCTGTCTGTCTGTCTGTCTGTCTGTCTGTCTGTCTGTCTGTCAAGTTCTTCCTCTTTTCCTCCCGTGAATCTCGAGTCGACTCGGCTATCTGTGGGGTTGCTATGGTTGGCTACTCCCGTTGTGACCTTTGACCATCGCAGAAGGCGTTGTGATAGGACCAGTAGAGAAGGAGGGGGGTGGAGGAGGATGGTGGTGGTTGTGACTGAAGTCTGAAGACGCTTACTTGAGCATAAAGGAGTTGTTCCGGTCTGGAGCGCTGAGCCTGCAGGGTTTGAACAATGAGAGGCTACTATGGCTGATACAACAAGGATATCAGATGTGACATAAAGACCAGGACCTGATCCTGTTTTTTCTTGTTTTAAAAACATCTTTATTAACAGAAAAATATGAACCCCACAGTGCCAAATCTATAATGGACAGATGGAGTACAACTACGAAAGACAAAAACAAACACAAAAAAACAGAAATTATATAAAGATAGGTCAAGCGTCCAAGGCTTGTTTGCATTTCCCCACTTCCTTGAAATCTGCTCACTCATTCAAGCAGGCGAGGAACAGTTGTCTATGTAGTCTTAATACATCAACGTCAACAGATGTAGTGCTTGTGCCAAAATAACCGAGCTATTGTACAATATGTTTCATTTTAACCTCCATGACGAATCAGTGTTTGATATCAGCACTATTTCTGATGTTAGGATGCAAAGACCTCATCTGAAAATTACAGAATTGAAATAATAAAAACAATTCAAATCACCGTTTTTGTAGAACCTAGCATTCAAGAAGTTTAAATAAAGAACTATACCCTAGAACTCACATGGAAATAGACTGGATAGATTTTAAAGAATGGAAAGGACAATGTGCATGAAAATAGTGGTTTAAAATATAACATCAAGGATCATGAATGCGTTATATAAAATGATCCAGAGTTTTCCAACCCCCATCATGATGTTCTCCAGTACCTTGTTTTGTCTAAAGATATTCAGTATACTCTCATAGGGCAAGAATGAAATCAGGAATATTCACGTTTTAAAAAGTGGCTTGAAATAGTGATATATTCATTAAATAATTGTTACTGCCCTAGCTGTATTGACCTTCAGTGGATAAAACACCTCACCAAAATCTGTAGCAGAAAGTCTGTGGAGTGTTTGTCCCATTAAGAGCAGCAGTCATCTACAGAACACTGTACTCCATGTCTGACTTTAACGAGGCGTCAGGACTGCAGACATGAGGAAGCCTTTTTTATTGCTTTACAGTTGTCTTTGTGAGGCTTCCTCAGGAAACCACTCAGCCGCACTAATGTAACGCTCAAGGGGGCCGAACCTTTATGTGTGTTGCCTTTCCCTTTCTCTCCGTCTTATGATCAAATTCCTACAGTCAAATAAACACTCATCCACACACACGCACACACAAAAAAACACACACTTCTACACATATTAAAACTAGGTCTGTGTTTCAGTTTGTTGCACAATTTCAAATTTTCAGAGATGTTTTTGTTTCTGGTGTGAAATACTTCATTTACAGGAAGCTACCTTGTGTCAATTGTTTGAAACTTGGGTTTTTTCCCTTCAAAGTGTCACCAGATAAATCAGAGGTGGTTGTTTGGAGATTATTGGAAAGGGAACGAGGACATCTACACAAATCTTTCAGTTTATTTTTAATCCTAGTTTTGCTAAATATTGGATCATTGAAACAGTTACTGAAATTAATCATAAACATTTAGCTAGGAATTGAAAGAGAGGTCCTTCTGTTTTTCAAAGTGAAGCCAAAATATCCTTGTGACTGGGGTTCACATATTACCCTGGTGACGTCATCTAGTGCCAGACTTGTGCAGTAGTCCCTTCTGCAGTTTCTGATGTCCAGCGTGTTCCACTAACCAAAACACACATTACACTTGCCGATAAAGCCACCGCAGGAGCTGCTTTTCTAAACAGAACTGTAAATCATTACCTCTTTTTATAGTATCTTATAACAAATTATAACTAAACTTTTCATAAAAAGTAACACCTGCAGCACGAATTAACAAAATAAGCACTTTTTTCTGAAGACAGAAAACATGTTAGAGAAAAATGTTTTTGCAGAGTGTTTAGATTTTATCCTTTGACACATGTCCCATCTATCAAAACAGAGAGGACAGAGCTTCTGACATGTACTGCAGCCTGTCAGTATGGAACATAGGCTGGATAAATAGTATTCAGAACAGCTCTCCAGTGGAATGAGGATTTTTTTTGTTTTTTAAGAGCTCCCCCTGCTGACTGGCTGCAGTATAGGTCAATGAGAACAGAATGGGACATGGGTCAAAGTGTAAAATTGAAATACTCGTCACATACATTTTCCAAACCTAAACTCTGCTGTGATCATTAGTTATATTATTACAGTAATTTGTGTTCAAGTGCTTATTTTTCTGATAAGTTATTTGAGACTGAAAAACTGGATTTCCTTATTTGATTCCATATTTGATGATGATCGTCATCTGCCGATCTTGCGTAGTTCTCTTTGTGAATAGCAAAGCTGATTAGTAGTCTATGGTATGGAAGCTCCAAATGTTCTGGCTTCACATTTAGGGAGCTGTACTGTTGTCCATGAGACAACATGGGACAATTACTATAACCTACAGTCTGATGACTCACCCTTTGTTGAAATCAGTAAACTTGTTTGTTTTTGTTGACCGTTTTAGCTGTATGTTAAAAGATCAAGATTTTATAATATTATTGTAACATTTATCCATTTATGAATATCTTTTTGATAACAGATATGGAGGTTGTTTCCTAAATTCAACAAATAAATGTGACAGCTGTTTAGCCTCTGTTTGTTAAGTGTGAGACTGAACAAAACAATTTGCAATTCATCAAACTTTTAAGAAACATGTATTTATGAGAGAAATTATTGCATGTGACATGCAACTAAAGTTTTCAAATAACTGCTGTGCAGGAAAAAATACAACATCTTTGTTGATTATAAGAATAACATGGAGCCCCAAAAGTCCCAAAAAGTAAAATAAGATATTTTGTGCACACAGATTAAGATAGATGTTTTTTTTTACTTTTTGGGATTTTGGGGGCTCTGGAGAATACAGTAATTTAAGATGGAAATAGTTATAGGCCAATCTCAAAACTGTAACTTAGTAGTAGGCTATTTGACTTTTTAACTTTCCACCATTTGAAATGACACCAATATGTTATATATATGTTTATAGGACTTTTTCCTTGGGTGCTTGTGAGGTCAAATAGAGTAAAATACATTATTCTTGAAGATGGAAACAACATGATGCAAATACACAACAAAAAGATCAAGTTATAATTCATAATGATGAAGAAATAAAACAACGAAAAACAGACAGAAAAACTGTTCAGGAAAAACTATCCTTATAACAAATGTGAAAGGAAAAAGTTACACACCACAACCACCATGTCTCATGTCCTTACACATACTTCCAGAGTTTATAGAAATATGTTGAGACGTCTTTAATTTGAACCACAGGCCACGGAGGTCCCCTGATGTGTCCCCGGGCCTTAGATTGAGAACCTATACTGCAGCAGCCACCGTTGACGTGAGGGTGATTAAAAATGTAGCGCTATAGAAACCAGGAGGCCAATGGAGGAGCGGGAAGCTGTTTACCGTTTCTATGGTTGCTGGACAAACCTCCTGCAACCAGGTATTAAACTGCCTCCCCGACGGATCCTGCAGCCCGCTGACACCAGTTCTAAAGACCTCCAAGGAGGAGAAGAAGCGCCGAGCACAGCGCCAAACACTCAATCCACAGGAATTTCTCTTCTTCTTTACTTCACCAACAAGCTGACCACAGGTGCACTCAAGCTGACCAGTCAATACGTCCAGCTCGATTGGGATTTAAAGGATTTCTCTGCTCAACACTACAACAGACTGAAGGTATGTTATCAACTTTACTCTTAGAATATATTTTTTAATCCTCTGAATGTTTTACACCTGGGAGTCTCTGCTTCAGAAGGCCTTAAATTTATGCGTTAGTGTGAAGTAAAACAGCGAAGTTCTTTGAAGTTTATTCAACATTTAACGAACAAATGTTTTACTAATGATGTATAATTACCAGTGTATTGCACTGTGCTTAAATTAAAGTTGTTTTTTTTTTACGGAAAATGAGCCACACTTTGGTGATCTTAGTTAAATTGAATCATGTCCCATGGTGCCTCAGAAGCTATTTTTACGCATGAATGGTCTTAAATATGCCAACGTGAAAGCAATAAAAACGAAATATGACAGATTATTTTTTTTTATTTATAACTTTTCTTTTCTGGTTCATATATTTTAAAGAGTTAAAAGCCTACAGGTGCCCAGTAAAAAAAAAACCGTGCGCTCTTTTCAGAATTGAGTGTCAAGTGCGCAGCGAGGGGGGTTTCGGGAAAGTTCTACGACAGAGAGAAAGGGTTAGCCTACTACTCATCAAAAGCTGGGGTTGAAGATGTTCGGAATGTAGTGTAGTCTTACTTTCGACATTGCCTCATCAAATCCAGGTGACAATTTACCACAGAATTTCAAAGGGAATCTTTACGCACACAGAGGCTCTGTTTTCAAATAGGGCCCTCATTGTCCTGCAGTCTCGCACTTTGTTGATGCTCTGTTTATATTTTCATTCCTGTCAGGTGGTGGCAGCGGGAGAAGGACAAGAAGGAGCTGGCTGACAAAGAGGAGAGAGGTTTTGGTGAGAGCCATGCTGTCTCTGAGCTGTGCCGACCCGTGGCCTGAAGGCTCGGTGGGGCTGGAGGAGGAGGTTGTGACCGCAGCTGCCCAGGCTGAGGAGCGGGACAGCGCCAACAACACAAGCAGCAACAGTAGCTTCTGCAGCTCCGTCAACCTGGACGACAGCCTCACCAGCCTGCAGTGGCTCCAGGAGTTCTCCATCCTCGGTGCCAACTCGCCGCAGCAGACCCACAACCAGCCGCACCTGTTCGGCCATCATCCACTGGGCTCCGACGCACCGGCCTCCCCTCTGGCCGGGGACCCTGCCTCCATCGGCATGCCCCTGACCCCGGGAAAGCCCACAGCTGCAGCCTACAGCCGGATGCAGGCTCTCCCCAGCATCGTGGCACACGGTCACTGTCCAGATGAGGTGGACTACAAGACCAACGCGCACATTAAGCCGCCGTACTCGTACGCGACGCTCATCTGCATGGCCATGCAGGCCAGCAAGAAGAGCAAGATCACTTTGTCCTGTATCTACAAATGGATCACTGACAACTTCTGCTTCTACCGGCACGCTGATCCCACCTGGCAGGTAAAGGACCACACACACAGACACACACAACACACAACACACACACACACACACACACACACACACACAGGGAGACAAATTACCTCAAACAATGTACACAATACACTCGTACACATTGATGGCTCGTTTCCAACACACTTCCCATTGTTTGGAAATGAGTTTTTTTTGTCAGGCCTGCTTTCTGAACTGGGGTCAAATCACAGCTGGGGGCAACATTTAAAAAAAACAGAATAGAAAACTCCAACACACTGAGAGTCCTGGGCTTGCTGCCACACTCTGAGGAAGGATTATTGAGTTAGCTGTGAGGGTAATTAATAACTCCGGCAACCATGAATAGCACAAAACATTCATAGAAAACATAATTAAACAATATAAATCTAATTTTAATCTTTTGTTCATGCAAACGCACTGTGAGGGTAAGTGAAACACTAATAACAAAATCTGTAAAGGACCAAGAAACTGAATTTGGACATATAAAGAGGAATAAAAAAAAAGGAAGCACATACCCAAAGCCAATTTATTCACATTTAAGCCATTTAAGTAAAAGTGAAAGCAACAGGGTGAAGAATAAGAAAACTAAACTGATAGAAACAAAAATAAATACAATTAAGTTAGATGTAAAATTACAAGATGAATGCTTAATGTGAAAATGCTTATGACTATTCTTAAATATGTTGTTATCAGTCTTTAGATTGACCTTTCTGTGGCATTCCTTGGACTACATACCTCACTGGTTTTTCTGCTTCAGCAAAAGCTAGTGATGGAAGGGTGACAAATTCCCGCTCGGAAGGGCAGGAATTTTCAAGAAAAGTTTAATTTCACCAGATAAATGATTGACAAGGCTGTTGCTGTACTCCCGTGTTTCCGCGTCTGGTGCAGACATTTTGTTATTGTAAGGCAGTGCATGGGGCAGATAATATTTAACAAAGGTCATTGGGTTACCGCTCTATATGGACTTCAGTGAGGTGGGGTTGAATGAATGAATGCTATAGGGTACACAGTGCATTAATGTGATGTATGGTGCTTCATCTGTTCCCCCCTCAAAACAGACTGATGTACACTCAGTTGGAAGGGGGTGAAACAAAAATAAATCTGGTTTATTTGTTCAGAAGTTGGAGAACTTAGTGCCAGTGTTTTGTCTGCAAGGCAAATTTACATTTGGTTAGCATGACTTAGTAAAAAGAAAGGACACAGGGGAACAGCTAGCCTCCATCCATCTGTAACAAAAGCTAAATTCCATTTCTTCCAAAGATCACTGATTGACATCTTATATTTTGTCTGATTAATCCACTAAATAGCTTAAGTAAAGTGATTTTATGGTTTTGGAGGGTCCATTTCTTTGCCAAGAGCAGTGGCCTGCCCTTTACCTATATATCAAAGTAATAGGCAGATCTTTGCGGCTAGATTGGGAAAAATTCAATTTGGAGAAAATAAAATTACAAGACCTTGACAAAAAATACCTGTTGAGCTAGATTTTATTGACCATTTGTGTCTTTAGAAATGGAACTAGCTGGCCTCTCTAATTTGCTTGTGTACTACAACTCCTTGGGATATGCATTGTGTCAGTCTCCATTGTTTTTTATGTAATCAGAAATGACAGTGTGTGGCAGAGATAGGCGAGATGGTGTCATTTTTTGTGTCAGGTAGATCCAGCTTGTTTAGCATTATGCATCAATAAGTCACTAAAACTATTTGGGAACCTTATTTTAACTCAATGAAGTATGGGAAAGACCCCTCAAGCAAAAACACAACAAGCAAGGACAACTTTATTTACAGCCAGAATAAGCTTCCCGAGTTTTACTTGGAAATGCAATTTTGATTGTCTGCAATTTAGTACGTTTACTTTTAAAGACCACATATCATAAATAATCCCCCAACTAGCTTTGCAGCAAGTGTAAAAATATTTGGTTACCTTTGGACATTGCAAAAGCTGGCTGATTTTTCCAGTTTCCAATATTTGCACTAATAACAATATCAATGTTCTTGCCTAACTGCCCGTAAGAAAGCTAAAGGCATATTTCCTAAAAAAAGAACCAGTTCCTTTAAGGTTGTTACTAACTTAAGTCTGTTTTTATGCATTTATTGTTTGGAACAAGTCCAATTCCTTTTATGTATAAATGTACTTTGTAATAAGTCCAGCACTGTGCTTTTCAGAACTCCATCCGACACAACCTGTCACTCAACAAGTGCTTCATCAAGGTGCCGCGGCAGAAGGACGAGCCAGGGAAAGGTGGTTTCTGGAAGATAGACCCACAGTATGCTGAGCGTCTCCTTAGCGGTGCCTACAAGAAGAGGCGAATGCCCCCAGTCCAGATCAACCCAGCCTTTCAGAACAGGCTCAGGGTTACCCTTCAGCCCCAGTACAGAGGCCCCTGCAGCCCCACAGAAGGTCTAAACAGCTTGTCTATCAATCCAGACTCCCAGAGGCTCCTCCGGGAATTTGAAGAGGCGACTGGTGCCGACCAGAACTGGGATCCTCATCTGGCTGAAGGGACAATGCTAGGGTCCTGGCCAGTGGTCAGGGGAAGAAGTGGGCACAAGAGGAAACAGCCACAGGGTTCCAGAAATGGTGCCAAAGCCCCTCGACGATCCAGCTCACCTCTGCTCACCGCTGATGAACCAAAAGAGATTGGACCTCTGAAGGGAGACTTCGACTGGGACGCCCTTTTGGACTCAGCCCTTAGTGGTGAGCTCAGTTTGGATGGCGGAGAACCCCTGAGCCCCATCATGAAAGAGGAGGACTTGACAGTTCGGGGAACCCACATCTCTCCAGTTGAGGCTCCAGCAGGGACATCGGACATACATGTGTTGGTGGAGACACAAAGGAATAATGACGTGTCAGACCTTGATGAGGAGACCTTCCTTGCCACAGCGTTCCTCGAGAGCCCCTGGCCAGAAGAGGAGGATCAAGGCCGCAATGACTTCCTCTGTAGCTCCACTGTCAACCTGGATCAACTGTTTGACCTAGGAGCCTCACTTGGTGGAGACCCAAGCACCCGGATTGACACCCTTCTTTGAGGAATTGTTATTTTCAAGGTCTTCTTTCACTACTAAAACTCTTTGCTACCCTACGAGAGAACAACAGACTCCTTTTTCATCTCAACGACTTTTATTGTTCTTTGCAAAATCTTAACATTGTTTGAAAAGTGACATTTTTATGCTGATTCATGCAGGATTTACATTGGTAGCACCTTCTAAACAAAGATGCTACAACATACAGCAGCAGAGCACATCCCTAAACTTAAAACAATAATGTGTTGAATATGTTATTGGGACCAGAAATTATTTGTGACAAAAACATTTTTTTAGAACATAGAGCCTGTTATAGAGACTTACTGTACCATGTGAGATCAATCATGCTGGCAAGCAAGGATATGCTAACGCAAGTTAGTCACATTAGCTTCCTATCCTTCAATTTTTCACTGAACTGGGGTTGTAGCTCTTCCCTGATGATATATGTTCGGACTGCAAATGAATTTATTCAACTAAGTTTGACTGAAGACAGGAACAAATTCCTTTTTTGAACTAGCAGCTAGCAACATGGGAGTACTAAAGGAACTATACAGTGCTGCAGTTCTACTCAGCCTTTCTCTAAATGAATCCCATTGTCCATTCAGGACTAACTAGAATTTGGCTGATATTTTGCATTATTTGCTAGACGTGCTATGTTCATTTAAATGGGCACATCATATTCTTTGGTATCCAGTCCACATTAGGCACCCACAATTAGCAAGCCAGTTAGCGTATGCTGATCTGAAAATCAAAGAAAGTGACATTTTAAATAAGCATTGGTATAATGTAATGTGTGTAAACTATGTCTCAGTTGTGGAGAAGTTTAAACTCTGACAGTAGAAGGTGGCATAGCTGATATGCTAAAATCGCTTCGTCCATTTTGGCAATAGGTCAGTGATGCAAATGTGTGCATTATAATCAACCAAATTGAACTACATGCAGAAAACCCCAATGTGTTACATCAGGGTAAAAGAGCAAAATCTCTGTTTGTAATGCTAGTGTGAACATGCAAACTGAATGGCACATCATGGTCTCTGTTTACAGTATGAAAAATGTGTTCATGTTATGTGTGTACACTACAGTTGGCTTAACTTTTACATAAAATTATAAATGAATAAGTAACCAAGTGGCATTAAGGACAAGACTGTGATCAACTGAGATGCATTTAGTTTTACATATGATTGTTTGCTGAAAATTGATCAAATTTGACTGTATATATTGTGACAGCAGCACTAAGATGATGAATAATATGTATGTGCCAAATGATGTTTGGTGTAGAAGTGATTTACTGATTTTTTTTATGTTCAGTTTTCTTCCATTTGAGCTTTTGATACTAATTTTCTCTGTATGCATATTTCAAAATTAATAAGGAATAGTTTAACTAGATTAATTGTGATTATGCAGCCTATAGTTTTTTCAAAGAGCAGAAACATTTTTATTCCATACTGGACTGAAATGATCCTTGTTAAAGTACTTAGTGTCCACCTTCTTTGATCCAGCAGTATGGTTTAGGTTCAGAACTCACACATGAGAGCTAAAAATAAAATGGAAAGGAAACAGCTAAAGGCAAAACTCTCCAACGAGGAACTAATATGACATTAAAGTGATCAGTTGAAAAAGGCCATGGCTCATTGTAAATGAATACCTGACCTTTAACGTGCCCAGCATAACTTTTGGGACATGACAAGGTGGCAGTGTATTTAATGGAAATGTCTAGCATTCTTTTTGCAAGGAGATGTTATTGGCTCTAAGAATTGTTGGTGGCGATGCTTGGATTGTCTCGTTGGAAGCTGACTTGATAAACCAAATCACTCTATATGAAAATGAGTCACTTAAGTCTATACTACAGCTAATGTGTGACAGTGCAATCAATGTACACTGATACTTGTTTTATACATTCAGTTGTAGACGGCTGTCAGTCCAGTTTACTTTAAAGAGAACAGTTTCACTCTGTTGTGTATTGAGGTGTAAACACACAATTTCAGGACAAAGGACTCCAAGACAAAGAAACCCTGAAATGACTGTGTATTAGCTCTTGGCTATTAAATAACACTTTTAAACAACAAACATGTTTTCATTTTACCTCATAATTGCTTCTGGAAAGCCAGAGAAGTATCCTGTATGGATTCCTTTACTTTTCTGTTTTTATTCTACTTCCGATTTCTTTGTCAAATAAAGAAAAGAAAAGAAAAAAAAAGATTGCATCTTAATGAATTATTTACAGCCCTGTTCGACTTAATGGCCAGGCAGGGGCCTTTCTGTGTGGAGTTTTCATGTTATAGCTGTGTATGCATGGGTTCCCTCTGGGTACTCTGGCTTCCTCCACCCGTCCAAATAAATGCTTGTTAGGTTAATCGGTGACTCTAAACTGCCTGTAGGTGTGAGTGTCAGGGTAAATGGTTTTTTGTATAAATAAGTCAGCCCTGTGATTGACTGGTGACCTGTCTAGGGTGTACGCCACCTCATTCCCAATAAGGGGTATAGACAGTGGATGGATGGGTGAATGGATGGATGGGCTTTGAAATTTGGCCACCAGAGAATGACTTCTATTGGTTTTGGGGATCTCTGACTTTGATTCTGGAGTCACCATGAGACTGGTTGGGTTTTTCAGTGAAATATTTGGACCAGTATGAGGGATGTTCATGGTCCCTGATGATTTAGATTTTACTCCTTTGGTCATCCTATGACTTCCTCATAGCATCACTGCCATGCCTTTATTTTTAGTAATTTTACATTTTGTCGAAAGATTGTAATATAATGCAGTACAGGAATTCATGGTTCCCAGATGATTAGAATTTTTTTTAATTAAAATATATCTAAAAAATGACTAGATGGAATGCAAAGAAATTTTGCAAAGTATGCAAAGTATTTTCATGATTTGAATGCAACACTTTGAATTATGATACAGCTGACTTGCGTCTAATGAATACATGTTAGAATGCTAACAGTTAAATCAAGGAAGCATTGTACTGGTAAACAGCACGCCTAGCATTCAGCTAAAAGCACTTTTGACTTCAACCTGACAGAGCTGCTGGTATGGCTATAGGCTTTTCAGGCATGTTTTCTCTTTTCTCCTTCAACCCCCCCTTCGCTTTAGTGTCCCTGTACATGAGATTTACGCTGGTCTTTTCCTGCTCATCTCTTTTGGGTGTCTTGCTGTGATCATGCAGTGGATGGGTAATAGTAGCAGGGGGTGGCTGGGTTTTTCTTTCAGGGCTTTGTCTGTGCTCAGTCAGACTCTTGTTCCCCCATGGCGTTTGGATCTGGAGTACTTCATTGGGTTGGTGTGGGGTCTAACAGGGACAAGTGTCCCACGGCCCCATATATCACCGCCTTTCTGCCCCGCTTCAGACCACACTGTCTCTCTCTGACCCTGTTGCAGATTAGCTTGGTGGCTAGCGTTCAGGGAGTCAAATGAATAGCGGCAGTAATCAAATGCAAATACGTAGAATTTAAGAACCCTGCATCCCCCCCAGTGCGTGAATAGACAGGCTTTCTGTCAGCAGGCGTGTCTGTCTGTGGTCACTTGTGAGGTAAGGATGGCTGAAAAATGAAGGGCTGTAATGGTACACCACTGTAGAATGGACACCCAACACTCTGTTGGAAGGGCAGGATCCTGCATCTTCATGCCCAGCCTGAGAGCTTTTTTCCTGGAAAGAGGAGCTTATGTTTCCCCTTCCCCCTAGCATGAGCTCTCCACAGGCCCCCCTGGACAGCTATTACCTGCCGGACTTGGCTCTCCATCTGGATGGCAGGGCTCATAACAATATGTGGCAGGCCAGGTTAGATGAGAGGCTTGTGGTAACCTGATGCAGGTATTATTCCCAGGCCCTGCTGACGGCTGCAGGTAAGAGGATCCTCCTGGTGAAACGCTAACCCTCAGTGCATGTTCCAACCCAGAAACGCTGCAAACTGAAAGTGCTAAACACAAACACCCAAAGCGGCCAGGATGACTATGCAGCCACAGGTTTCAACTAGTGATTACATTTGAAGGAGGATACGTATACCAGTGGGTTGACATTTGCTGCCACAAAAGCGACCTTAAGATAGAATAGATGGTAGGGAACGTAAACTCTTTGGGTGAAATAAATAATAATGCACTGACTTTCTGAAGACTGACACAACAGTCATACAAGATTTTATTTCTGGTTGTTTAGTACGTGTGCCCAGTCAGAATTGTAGATGTTCAAATGTCCACTTTCTATAATAACTTCCATTTCTTCTCATCCATCTGGGCAGTTGTGTGGTGGAATTTCAGGTTCCCAGTCGGTTTGTCATTTGAAACACATTGAAAATGGTAAAAAAATATTTGACCGTATCAAGACATTAGCTAGGCAAAAAACAAACTAAAAAAATATGGTGTCCAACAACTTACCCCTGCTATTTTTAAAAAGCCTCTGGATGTGAAAGCAAAGACGGTCAAATACATTAACACAGCTAATACATTTTTAATGTAGGCTCAAAATAAAGAAGAAAAACTTAGAATTATGCATTCAGGAATTAATATTGCTTTTTTTCTGTTGTACTGAACCCTTAACCCAAAACTTTGGTACGTACCAAACCATGACTGCTGTGTACTGTTAAATCCCCATCTTGAACTCCCCCCATACTGTTCAAGAACACTATATTGAGTTTAAGTTCAGACAGATATTTTAAAGATAGAGGCTCTGGGTGGTCTAAAAGTAGTTAAAGTATCGGTTCTGAGGAAGCTACTGCTGATAGGAAATGTCTCTGCCGTTTTCCCAATTCTGCACAGGTGTTAAACTGAAGAACGTGTCAGGAGAAACACTGATGGTGGTGAGGGATCTACAGTGAGCTGGTACAACTCTCTCAGTCTAACTGAAGCTTATCTGCAGGCTCCAACGAAACAACAAAGATGTGAAAAAAGTGGACAGAGAGGGGACGAGGAATACATCTTTTTTATCACACAGCTAATGAAAGGCCTGTTTCCTGGGTAACTCCTGGTACCATTGTCATGTAGGGCAGGAAGGGGGAAGGAATGGGTGAGGGTTTGTTACTGGTTTTACCGAGGCTGATAGTGGATGGGATGGTGTAGCAGACAGAAAGACTTGATGGAGCCTCAGATTTATTACAGTGGATGGTTTTGTGAAAGTTCAGCTTACCTTACTAAAGCGAGGCTCGCTGACTCCTTACTGTCATAAAAAAACTAAACTCTGTGCTTAAAAACTGCACAGTCTCTGCTTCTCCACTCAGCTCCACTATATAACTCTTTTATCCAGTGCCTGGGAAGATCCTTTTCTGCTCAATTATTAAAAATTCTCAGAAAACACACAAGTACCTCATATAAACAAAAGTGCAGCGTTATAAAATAAATCATCAGATATTGCTGGGAGTAGCAATTTTGTTGTGATTATTAGGCTTTAGTGATGGAAAGTTACTAAGCACTTGCAATTTAGTGCAGTTTGTACAAACAATACTTTCTTCACAACGTACGATAGGCTCTCTGTTAGGTAGATTACATGTCCAATAAAAAGTGAAAAAAGGCATTGTCATTACTATAAGACCTTAAACAAAGCATGTAAAAAAAAAAAAAAAAGTAGGGACTGAGTATAGAGCCTTGGGGGACTCCAAAGGATATGGAGGTTGTGGTGATTGTTGTCCGGTCTTGTTAATTGCCAAAACAACAGAAAAAATCAGCAAAATCTCAATTGACAAAATACCTTTGACTGATAGTTACAGATTTCTTATGCCTCAAAGTATGTGTTGCCTTAAAAGTGAATATGCATCTTTTATAAATTCCAACCGCCAATTAAAAACCTAACACCTTGAGGCACATCAGACCAGCTTTCAGGTTGTCTTTGTTTGCTTTAACTCTGCTCTGAAATGACCTCTGATGTTATTTGCATGTCTCTGTACAAGTCACCTTTTTAAAAATATTGAGTGATTAAATGTAACTTAATTACAGTAAGGTATTTGTATGGAGTTATAAAGACAAGTTTATCAGGATTACATACGTTAACGAAGAAAACAACACTAAGTCATTGGTTTTCTTGCAGTCATTTTCTTGATTTCTCTATATGCTTCTTTCTACTCCTTTACTACATCAACAAACTACATAAAGGAGAGGAGTTTACTGCAATAAAAATACATGTTTGATATAATATAACAAACATACTTTCACCTTAGTAAAGTTCTGAATGCATTTATCTTATTGTGGAAAATATTTTAAGTGCTTGTAATATTCCCTTTGATATACTTTGTATATTTTAATATCCATAGGATATGAAAACTTATTCAAAATGCAATAACTGGACCCTACACCATTATAAACAAACATGAGTGTTCTGTCTGAGGCGTATGGATGCCAATGTGTTTGTGGTGTCAGGGTCAGGACAAAGAATTGTAGATCATTGTATGCAGGATCCTCCGTTTGTTTGGGGAGTGCATGTACGTGTGCGTGTTTGCCTTTCTCAATGTGTGTGTGTTTGTGTGCGTGTGTTTGTGTGTGCGTGTGTGTGTCCTGCTTTGCAGTGCAGGCTGAAGCCTTCTTTGTCGGGGAAGACACAGGCAGAGGGGTAATCCGACATCCATCACAGGCTTAGTGAGCAATACACACTCTCTGTTACAACAAGGAAACAATACCCAGGGAAACAGTGGGAGGGCCTCTTTATTCATTACGCAGGGCCGGGAGACGCTCTTTTGTAGGTGTTTTGGGGGACTGAATGAGGCATCAGAAGAGCAGCATGACAAAGCCAATTCTGGAGTTACCGGAAAACCTCCACAGCAAACTGGGAGACCAAGGAAAAAACACTTGTAACTGCAAGTCCCTTTCACACATGCACTGGGCCTATAAAATGTTTCTAATTTTGTCCGGGCAGGTGCATGTATGAACACAAACAGCCAAATCTGGTGACTGATCGGTCTCCTGCCAACCTTTTAAAGACTGCACAAACATCCTGAAATTATCAGGGTGGGTTGCATGTGTGGATGCAAAAGGTAAAATTTTTTAATTCAGACTTAATCCAAACTTTTTTGCTGCCTGTCCCCTAATAAATGTCTGCAAGAAGTAAGGTTGAACCTGTGTGAACATATCAAGTAAGTCAAATCTTTTCAG